TAAATGTGTGTCTATATATCCGATGTGATAACCAAACTCAAAAACTTCCCCTAACTAAACAAGGCCAAAATATATGGAATCGGAGAAATCAAACATCATTTTACAGAAAAATCAAGTTTCCTTTTTTCCTATGTTAGTGACGTCATAAAAATATATATGACCCTAGTCCCCACTGCTAGGACAAGATGTCATCCATCCCGAGAAAGCCCTGGATGAAATGCTCGAATGCATCGTCTTTCTATTTGTTTCATTAACAAGAATCTGATGTCCCAGTACATGTTCTGATGTACACAATCATACTAGCTAGTATACTGCTCTCCATAGTCAATTCAACTGGAAATTATTTTTTAGCCAATAAAAAGATATACATACAATTTCTGCCTTTGCAACTATGGATTTAATAAAAGAAACCCCCAAAAAAAGATTTAATAAAAGAAACTGAAATATAGATAGCATCTTGGTTCATGGAAGTCATTAGAGGGTCACTAACAGGAATCAATGAATCAAGATTATCTTTGTTAGCACTTTATTAGAGCTTAAAAAAAACCAATCTGATGCATGCCTTCTGCTCCTATCTCCCCACGAAGAAGAAAGTGGACATAAATATGAAAATAAATAAATAAATTATGCATAGAACTTTTATCTTTGTACTATTCTCGGTCTAAAACCAATGCTAAAAAATAGACTACTACCAGAAAAAACCCACAATTAACTATAAAATTAAATTTAATATTCAAATTTGGCTGTAACGGATAAGCCAACAAAAACGATCTTACACTGACATGTCCTTTTGATTTCTCAGCATAAAAAAATTAAGTTAAAATGTTTTTTCATTATCTGGAGTTCTGGACATGTTAACTTGGTCATAATTTATTGACTTTCCTCTAAAGCAAGGGGTTACTGGCCACATTCCAAGCGTTATTCTAGCCCTTTAATTTTTTTTCATTGAATATCTATACTTCTTTAAAAAACACTAGTGGTGGTGGCAAATCACTCTTTTTACAGTTTTAATTAACCCCTGATATTTTCTGATATTATGGAATGGTTCAATATTTGTTTCAAACAAGTGAATATACTTACATACTCTTTTAAAAAAAATACTATTGGTGGTGCTAGTGGATTTGCAACTGCCATTCACTGCCATTACCACCCCCACCACTGTTTTTCTGCAGTTTTTATAAATTGGCTCTTGATTTTTTATATTATGGAATAGCCCAGTATTTGTTTCAAACAAATCAATATACTTACATTGTGTTCGCGAGGTGGAGTTTGGAACTCGGAGAAAAGAACTTAGCCATATATACTCATAGCAGAAAATGGAGTGGATAATTAGCGCGTGATTAATTAAGTATTAGCTTTTTTAAAAAAATAGATAAACATGATCATATAAAATTATTTTGTATAAACCGCACTGTTTAGCAATTTGTAAAGCGTGTGCGGGAAAAACGAGATGAGTGAGTTGAGAACTCAAAGAAAAGAACTTAGCTATATATATACTCATAGCAAAGCATGGGTATCTCCTGCTCCCTCCGTACTCGTAAATAAAGTTGTTTAGGACAATGTTTAAGTCAAACCTTGGGAATATAAATCATGAATAACTCTTAAGTTGTTGAGTTTGAAAATGTAAAAATTATATGAATAGATTTGTCTTGAAAAATACTTTTATAAAAGTATACACATATCACTTTTCAATAAATATTTTTATAGAAATAAGAAGTCAAAGTTGTGTTTTGGAGACCGTGTTGCTGTCCAAAACGACTTCCTTTACAAGTACGGAGGGAGTAGTTTCCAAAAATGGAATAATCAACTATTTACCACTTTTACGAGTAGTGATAAAGGATTTGCCACTGAACCCACATATTATAGACACATAAGGGTCCACGTGTTATAGATACATGAGAACCCACATGTCATAGACAGTGAGTGGCAATCCTTAATTGCCACATCTTCGAAGTGATAAAATAGTTAAATGTCCCTAAAAAAATAGAGACAGCATGAATCAACGGGTGAGTAACACACAGAGCCAACCAAGCCAGATCTGTTTTACCAAAACTTTTGTAACTGACTCCAGCATGTAAAAGTTCTTTTCTCGGAAATCAGCATGTATAAGTTCAGCTTGATTCAAAAATAAAACAAAACAAAAAGGTATGCAGAATGGACTCCACGGAGATACCTAATACTTAGGATACAGCTTCAAGCTTTAATAAAGTTGATCGAATTTATGCTTCTCCTACAGCTAAATCCCCTAACCGAGAATATTTAGATAGAAAAAAGATACCAAAGTGAACTAAGGGTGTGTTCGCTACAGCCGGCTCCCAACGTGTACAGTACACATGAAAAACGGAGCGGTTCATTAGCACGTGATTAATTAAGTATTTATTATTTTTTTAAAAAAAAATAGATCAATATGATTTTTTAAGTAACTTCCGTAGAAACTTTTTGCAAAAAAAACACACCGTTTAACGATTTGAAAAGCGTGCGCGCGAAAAATAAGGATAGAGAGTTGGTAACCAGCTCTTGCAAACCGAGCCTATGTCGGCAATATGGGTGCCTCCCTTCCGGCAGCAGAAGAATATATATATCCCCTCATGGACATGCCCACAGGATTTTCGATAAACAATTGAAAAGACTGCAACAGGAAATCGTCATCGATATATATGGGCAATCCCAATCCTCCACCTAGAATGATGTCTATGACATTAACTACATTGCCATGTATGACTTTTAACTTATGTGGCACTATATTAATTAAGAGAGAGAGTGAAGAGAAGAAGAAACTGGGTCTCATACAAGACACAGCTTCAACATGAAAACCTATGCACTAGACACTATCAAGTTTTGCATTGTGAGAGAATATTGTCTTCATAATAGATGAAGAATAAATATGATTGGTAGAGAAGAGAGATGATGTATTTATTAATGGCCCACTTTAAAAAACCATAGGTTGTAAAGTATAGTTTCTATTGTGATGTCTTATTGACATGGCACCATAGACATTGCTTATGGACATTATGGGTTGGGACTGCCCTAAGCCCCTCTATATTTAGTTTATAAGCCGCTGTGAAATTTAAAATTTAATTTTGAAGTTGATTTGGTGTTTTCATCATATTTTATTTTCCATAATTTGCTCTTACATATCGAAGAACCCATATAAAAATTTTACCCATAAATTATTTTTTATCGCTTTATAAGTCATAACAAGCTTTATTATTAGGCGAAACGATGTGGATGAAACTTTTTGTTTATTGTTTATCATCAAGATAAATGGCTATACATGGTGGGCCAAATTATAGGAAATTTGTCATATATGTATAACGGAATCGGGTTCTATGCATTAAAGAACAAAATGTAGAGAATCTACAGTACATGCATTCGGATATGTTCTTTTACTTATGCTGTTTGATCCACATTCAATGGGAAAGGATAAAGATACAGTATCTCCAAACTTTACGAAAAATAAAGCAAATTCTCTAGTGGTGTTCGTTTCTATTAAAGATAAAATTAGGACACGAAAAAAATTAGAAAACCATTAGCGTATAACTAATTGAGCTTGAAAAATGAATGTATATGATATTTTAAAGCAACTTCTACATAAAAAATTTCCGTACAAAATACACCGTTTAACAGTTTGAAAAACATGCTGATGAAAACCGATATAAAATATGTATCTTAATCAGGCCTTTGTACAAGTAGCATTGTTGCTATACACTGTTCAATCAATGATTCTCTGCATTGCAATTTGCAATAGAGGATATATTTCCATGCATAGTGGGAGTACCAGTCACTCGTCCACTCCTATAGTTCTATTTGGGCCATATGGCCTAGATTATCTGAGGCTCAACCCAGCCCCAAGCAAGAGAACAGTGTAACATTAGTGGAACTGGACAAAGAGAGCTAGACAAACACAAGAGGACCACATGTTCAATCCTAAGGAACTAGAATATTTTTTTTGTCTGAAATCTGAGTGAGAAGATAACTATTGCTGGATCTGTAAGAGACATGGCAATCCTACTTTCCTACTATGAGAGCAAAGTCATGATCATTGATAATGTCTTTTTTTTCCAATAAACAACACGAGTTCTTCCTAGTTTGACTTATATCCACAATAATAGTTTTCCTTTTTTTTGAGAAACAATTATGATTTTCAATTGGTTAATGAATATAATGATTTATAAGCTCTAACTCCTCTCAAAGAGATGAGGCTTATGATCTCATCTTACCGACCGTGACCCCAGGCAGCCGTCCGGACTCCTTTTAATGTTTTTGATAAATTTGAGATGAAATTTTAAAAGCAAACACTTGATATAATAAAGATTTGCATAGGATCTGAAACTTTTCTGTATCCAATAAGTCAACAGGACCTTTCCTGACAACCCTTGCCCCCCTCCTCTTGCCAACCGTCTCTGTCCCCTATATTGAAACTGCAGATATGAATTTGCAATTTGTTTCACAAACAACTTTCAGTCATCTAAAATGTGCCAGAATTCGGTAAATTCCATCACGAAAACGACTAGCAAGTCTATCAAATGCACCGTACACGCAACCGTATGTCCTAGAAAAAAGACAAATATCAATTAACACATGCAACAAATGTTTTCCTTTTCTTTCTGTTTTCTATTGATGTCAGCCTCATCAACAATACAATTATACAAACGGTTTGAGACTTGTCACCCTGGACAATTCCAGCCCATACATTTTCACCTCACAAGAAACTTGAAACTTGTCAGAGTTGGCTTTGTTCTGATTGACAGTAGATTTGTTTGCTATTGAGATATTTCTTTACCTTGATTTTTCTTGGAAATCAATTGTATTGCAGTGAGAAGACTAAGCGCATTTTCAGTGGTTAATTACTTAATTCGTGATGGCAATGTGTTCCTGTGCTAGTTGACAGCAGGGAGTTCTTTCAGATTCAGTGCATAGTTAGGCATGGTACGAAAACTTGAGTAAACCCAAATATTTTTTCTAGGGTGAAAGTTCATTTTCGCAAACTGAAGCGCAGATAACATGAAAAACACCAACTTGTTCAGTTATTGTTACCAGTTCACCAATCAAAAACAACTCATCTTCAGTAAAGTAGCTTCTCCATCATTAATGAACCTATTTTGACTTCAGGCACAAGTCAAACAATTGTTATTTTCCTTAACTATCATCTTAATAAATCTATAATTCCATCCTCATCATCTATATGTGCTAAGGTCTAAGAACCCAATTATTTACATCTAGTGTACACGTAGTAAACACATAGCTAAGGTGATTGCAGCATATATGAAGGCCACTAGGGAGTAGGGTGCCATATCAAATTAAGTTGCTACTTGCTACAATGGCAACTTTAATTGTACTTGACCATACACATTGTAATAATTAATTGGTTGATCAAAAGCCCTCATAGTAGCCACCAAACGATATGTTTGCCCTAGTTGAGCCACCCCCTCCCATCACAGATGACATTGCCTGGTTCAGCCTTGATGTCTGCTGCACAACCTGCTGCATTCTCTGCAGATCAACAAATCAAACCATGATTCAGGCAAAGTTCTCATGGATAAGATTGAGTAGCTAATTTTGTTCAGTTGTACATTGAATGAAAAAACATGGTGTCAGTAACCAATTTTCTTTTACTAGAACGTAAACGATATGATGGTTTTAGATTCTGTATTTGTATCAGCCCATAATAACATCGTGCCAAAATCATTAAGATTTCTTCTTGTGCTTCTAGTAGAAACTTCATATTAGAAAGGCTCAAGCTGCATCTGAATTAATTAATTAATTTAGGTATACATATGCACAACAGCACAAGTAAGCTACTAGCAAGATTCACCAAACCAATCCAGAGCCAAAAACCAAGAAATCAATGTTTTTTCTTGGTTTTGACGAAAATTGTTTGAAAACCATTGACTACCGATAAAATTTTATCAAAAATTAAAATTATAGTTTGAATATTTTCTAACTTGACCAACAAGCTAAACGGTTTGTATTCTTGAGCTGGTCCGAGAAGATCGGTTTTCATCGGTTTTGTAAAATCTGGCTACTAATCGCATAGTTATAGAAGGATTAGGATGTTTAGGATGTTCTACCTTCAAAGTCACGTCACATATCAGTGACAAAGTCACGGTGACTTCGAAAGTAAGGATGAGTGATCGCCATTTTGGATGATTCTACTAAATTATATGAGAAAAAAAAGTAATCTTCCATAGACAAAAGAAAATGATTGATGATGGATTTGGTAGAAAGTAGAAACATAGGACTGGAAATGAGTCACCAAATTAACCTTGTCATCGCCATAGAGCTGAAGCTGGATCTTGTGCTGCTGCTGCTGCCGGTGGTGGTGCTGCAGCCTGCCGCCGACGAGGAAGACGCAGACGGTGGCGGCGGCGGCGACGCCGAACGAGCACAGCGCCCCGATCCCGTTCACCCGCAGCTTCCCCACCCTGAACACCACGCACTCCGCCCCCGCCTTCTTCCCCTCCTCCTCCTCCTCCTCCTCCTCCTCGCCGCCGCCGTCGTCGTCGCCGTCGACCACCTTGGCATCGGAGCCCTGGAACGCCTCCTCCTCCTCCTCCTCTGTTACCTTGGCCGCCATGGTCTCTTCTTGGCTCGTCTTGGTCTCGGCCGGCACGGCCACGTCGACGCCGATGTCCTTGCACTCGTCGTCGACGGCCATGTCGGCGGCGGCGGCGTCAAGATTCGATTCCTCGGTTTCTTGAGCTGTCATCCAATCGATCACCGCAACAAGAATGAGACGCAATCTTTCGTGACAAATCCCAAGAGCTGATGCTGATCTTACCACCAAGAACTCTGCGGCCATGGCCGCCGCCGCCATGGGAGGATGAGCTCAGCTGGTCAGGCAGGACCTCCCAGTCCCACATGTCCATGCTCGCCGCCGCATCCATGGAAACCGAAGCACCTCCCTTCTCCATCTTGGCAAATAACAACCAAAAGATCGATCTTTTATATAACAAACAGCAGTGATCAATGAAAAAGATTCTTGCTTTGGGGCCTCTCCAATGGATGCTCCCCAAGCATCAATTTTGGTTGCTGCTTTTCAAGGCTCCAAGTGATCTTTTTTTTCCTCAATTTTTTTCTCCTTTCTTATTATTTGCAGGGAAGCAAAGGGAGAAAGAAAGCAATATATGAAGGGGAAGAGAAGAGGTGTAGAGACTAGAGAGATATCAGTGTCACCACAAAGCCTTGAAGCCAGTCCTTTGCAAAGAGCTTTGTGTGTGGGCTTGTCCTACCTTGCTAGGTGACAAAGTGGGGTGAAAATGGTGATTGGGGCCTACCACCACTTGGGACTTCTTCCTCCTCACTCATCAATCACTAGTTGGCACTTGGGATGTCTCTGAACAATTGTAGCAAACATGCCAAGGATTATTCAGAGCAACCCATAATAGGAAAAAGGAGCAAGCCATGCAAGGTGTGAAGAAACAAAACTAGTGGAGAATATCTAAGGCTTGTTGATCAATCCATCTCTTTTTTGTTGGTTCTTAATAAATATTTTTAGTTATCCTGCATAAATGGTACTACAATCCAGTGCCTTCACTGAGTATATATTCAATTCAGATCAAAGTTAACTTGAGAATTTATCCCTTGGTAGCTCCGAAGAATTATATTGTTCACTTAACATGCCATATGTCCTAAAGAGCTTCTAAGTCTATCCATTTCAGTTGTGATAGAAAAATTGAGAACATTCCTGAAATGTTGATCACTATCAGATGCCGACCTCTTTGAATATTGAATATATGTAATTTTATTAAACAAGTTGTGGTTTGCAGGACGGTTTATAGACAGGTTCAACGTTACGATACTGTACATCATCAGCAAAGGAGTTGTAACAAGGAATAAAATGTACAAAATTCAGGAACTTTAATGGAAGAAGAGTACACAACAGGGTGCCAGGATAGGGGGCCATGATAATGAGAGACAAGATAAGAACCTTCTGTAGAAAACCACATCAAAAGTTAAGATGTAACACACAAGATAGTGATGGTCTGATGGATAATCATGCAGGAGTTGAACCATAAACTAAACAATTTCAAATGGGGAGATGGTGATTTGAAACAAACTTATATTCAGAGTAAACTGTTAAAGTTCAGCTCACAGGCCAAAGAAAGGGTATTCAATTTCAACATTAATTTATTTTTTGCATTGTTGTTCCATCCATTCTAGATAGTAGCCTAGGCTTCTTTGTTTTACATTGTAGTTCCATCAAGGTTCTTGGGTCAAGTTGTACTTTATTGTTGTGGACTAATTCAGGTTAGTGTCAAGAAACTTTTGCCTAAGGCCTAGTGTTTTCTTCTTCAACGAATGGTAAAGCTCCTACTTTTCTTTTTTAAAAAAAAAGAAAAGGAAAGGAAAACTATCATGAATCATGTCACCTATGGTTAGAAGTAGTTGTGCAGCTATCAGCACCGTAGACTTTACTAGAAAAACGAAAAGAAAGAGAAGAGATTGGATCTCAGTAAACTAAGCATATAATGGGTACATGAAGTGTTTTTTTTATTTCTACATGGTGAAATTTATGTAAATTTTTTTGTTTAAAAGGAAACCTAATCTGTTGAGTGGAATTTAATATTTAAAATTTTCTGGGCTTAGCTGCAGATTATAATCCAAAGTAGTTGTGAATTTTAAAGTTTGATTTTCTATAATACTTTTAGGTAGATTTGTATTGCCTATGTATATAAATATATGATATTATTAATTTTATTCGGTCTTTATGTGTAACTTCGACCACTATTTTTTATTATAATGCAATGATAATATAGAAACAAACATATATTATTAAAAATACTTATAAAAAATATTCCCATATAAATCTTTATATTTTCAAAATAAATATGTTGAAAGCTAGTCAAAGTTTTAAAAGTTTGGTTGAATAAAGTCAATAATGTCATATATTTAAATACATCTTCTTCTTAGAGATCATAAAAAGCCCTTAAAAGCATTAATCCTAAAATGAAGTGACATTCTAAAATTTAAATCAGCTTCGAATTATAACTCAAAGCTCCGCCAAGTAGATTCTCGAACCTTACGAGTGTGTTTGAGAGGAGAAAGAAAAGAAAAAGATTGAGAAGATACACAAAATGAGGTGAGCCATTAGTGTATGATTAATTAAGTTTTAATTATTTCAAATTTAGAAAATGGGTTGATATGATTCTTTTAAAAGCAACTTTCTTGAAGAATTTTTCTTTAAAAAAATACACCGTTTAGCAGTTTAAGAAGTGTACGTATGGAAACGAGGGCTTTCTCTCTTTCTACGGTTCAAATGAATGCTTCGCAGTATAATATTTGAATCCTATAAAATTCCTAAAAAAAATCCTTCCATTCAAATGGCGCAAGAGTTGTGCAAGAAGTTGGTTTGAGATGAAATTTAGCGCCAGACGCGGCCCATTTGGGCACCACCGCTTCTCGGCCCGGCCCAGCAGCGGTTGATTTGGGCCGAGACCAACCCACCACCACCCGCGGAGTAGGCGACGGCGGCGAAGCCCACGGCGGAAGCTTCTGGAAGGTTCCCCGCCCCCTCACGCATCTCTCCCCTCCCTTCCGACGCCGCATTCTAGGGTTTAGCTGGGTTTTCTCCGCTGTGGCGCTGTGGCTGGGCAGGCGATGGGGGCTCTCGAATCGTATTCTTTTTGAATTGATTGATCCCCTAGTTACTATCCTAGTTCCGTTTAGATTGGAGGAGTTGAGATCAAGATCTGGATTAGCCCTAGAGTTGGTAACGAAGCTCACCATGATTGTTCAGGTTTATCGGGGTTAGTATTGTATTATTAGTTTCTGTCGTCAAGATGGAGTTCTTTGGCTGCCATCTATTTGTTGATGCATGTGTTCTTGTTAATCATTATCTTAAAAAACAAATGTATTCTTGTTGATGATTGACAGGTTAGTATGTCCACAGGGACATTGACAATGGATAGAGGAGGGGCAGCAAAACGAGAGGCGTCATGCGGAACAATCTAGAAGTGGTAAACTACCTCCACAACATCTTGTAGTGCTCCTGCATTTGATCTTAGAGTAAAAAACATCTTGTTCGCATTCTGTTATTAATGGGGATTAGAACAGGGGCAGAACAAGAAAATAGGCCAAGCCTAGGGATGTGGAAATGTGTCTTTAGCTAACCATTTTTTATGCCTTCAAAGTTTTCATAGTATTTTTGATGGAATCTCAAAGGGTTATAGTCTTACAGAGATCAACCTATGGCTCAAATCCTCCACGCACTGAGTCAGGAATAGGATAACTATGAAAGTGAGCACAGTAATAACTTGTTGACTGCTAATTTTGATGGCATTGGTTTTCTTCTAGCTTTAGTTTGCTAACTACAATTACTTGTTTCCATCATATATTAACAATTATTCCCAATACTAAATTATACGGATCTTAAACTACACATAGTAATGATATTGTAGAGGATTGCAAATTAGATCCACAGCCTGCTTTGGAATTTATCTTTTCAGTTTTTGAGAAAGAACTAAAGCTTGTCTCCAAGTTATTCACTTGTTAGTATCTGAAATTTCCGATGACAAACAGAAACTTTCGATATTTTCAGTTTTTCCGTGGTCACATAAATACTTTGTCATGTGCTTTGCATCAGTCAACACAAATATTAACCTTCCAAACTACAATATCATGAAAAATTGTGTGCTACTGGTGCAGTAGGAAGCTACACTACAAGGTTGTCACGGTATGAAGATTTCTCATAAATAATTTGAAATCTCTGAAAAGAATCCACCACAAGATTTTACTGTATTGAATTTTGCATACATAGGGAACTAGGGATGTTTCCGTTCAAAAAAAAAAAAACTAGGGATGATAAACCTCTATGGCACATTGGCACCTATACTGCTTTGCATCTGCCATACGTGTTAAAAAATGCTAAATATGTAGCCTGACAGATCAAAATCAAAAGGAAAAAAAAAACTTAAAACACATGAAAAGCCCTTCATCTAATCAGAAGATACATCCGTCACATTACTCTGCTTGCTGGCCATCGTTCCTCATACGTTTTGTATGGAATTGGCTCATAGAGCAGAAGATGGACTCAAAAAGGAGGAATCTTGGTATGGGGATGTCTAGTTTTGTTTGTCTAATACATTAATACTTGCAGGACAGTTGACAAATAGGGGGCAGATCCCACAAGGAGTCGCACAGATCATTACCCATATCAAAGGTTTCCTGCTCCTGGATGCCATTCATACCATGGGAGCCTTGCTTCTCTGCCTTCATCTTATCCTGGTCTGAGGCCACTGGGCAAGCATTGCTGCCTGACATGTCGCATCCATCCCCAATCGGTAGTAGGCTGGTGTTGAGTGCCCATGACTGATCATATTGTTGTTGTGAAGAAGCCAGCTGCAATTCTTCACCTCCACTCATAGCAAAATTAGAGAGGTTTGTAGCAAAATTAAGGCTTGAGCTGTTGCTTCTGCTGGGGCTGACACCACTGGTGCTTGTGCTGGTTGCAGCAGCAGGGACAGTGCTACGAGCATGGTGATATACTGCGGTGCTGAAGGTGATGGTAGGCTGGGGCATGCTCTTCTTGAGCTTCTTGTGGGTGAGGATGGTGCGGATCCTCGACGCGAGCGGCGAGTCTGGTGCAGCCTGCGTTGCGAAGTTGGTGCGCGTGTTTGAGCCCCGGAGGAGGCATGCGGCCTCGTCGTAGGCCCGCGCAGCCTCCTCGGCGGTCTCGAACGTGCCGAGCCACATCCGTATCTTCTGGGTGGTGTCCTTGATCTCTGCCACCCACCTCCCTGAGGGCCTCTGCCTGACGCCCACGAACTTACTGCTGCTGCACTTGGTTTTCGCTTTGTTCTTGGCCACTGTCACGGTTGGCACTTGGTAATGGCATTGCTGCTGCTGGGATTGCCCTTGTGTTGGCTTCTGGAACTGGAGCTCCATGGAGAAGAGAGGGAAGCTAAGAGAGTGCAATGTCTGTTTGCCAGTTTGTGTGTTTTCCAGCTGTGGTCTGAACTTTGAGGGAGGTGCTGGAGTCTGAATTTAAGGGGGGGGGGGGGGGGAAGAAAGGGAGGTTGAGATGTTGGGTTAGTGGGAGACTTGTCATGTTGTGCCTGTCTCTACTGTTGAAAATCCTTGTGGTGAGTTCAAGAGGTGACTGAGTTTTCTATGAGGCATAGGAGCATAATGCTGCATTCTGTAGTTTGTTTCAATGTTTTCTGATGTGGTCTTAGTGGCTGGCATGTTTGTTCTTTACCCTGCAGGTTGACAAAAGCCACCTTTGTTTCAGGCTGTGCGATAAGATCGACATATCTGATGCTTCTGTTTAGGTTTTACTGAACCATGGGCTGCAATCCCTCCCTTATTGTTGATATTACAGTTAACTCCAAACTGTTGGCCTTGAAAAGCTTGGAATCCTTAACAGTTCACTAAGCATAGAAGTTTATCTTCAATATTATTAAAACATCTTTTGTTGCTATGTTTTCAGTTCCTACTCCCATCATAAAACCGCCTTATGATGTTTGAAAATTTTTAAGAGTTCTCTAAGCAAATAATTCAATGGATTGCTTTAGGCTAAAATGCTGTGCAGTCCTTTAGATTAGTTTAGATTCACCTACTAAATGTTTGCAAGGCTATATAATGATATGGAAATTGCTTTTGCAGGCGTCTGACACTTGCTGCTTCCAAGGAATTGGTATGAGAGGATCCACATGGTTCTGACATTGTATAGGTAGCAATTGCCATCCAAGTACATTTCATATTTTCCTAAGTAGTGGTCTTCAATTGAAAATTGCAAACGATTCTCTCTCTCCGGCACAGCATTGTTTTAAACATTTGCCGTGTGTTCTATTCAAATGACGAAATTCTAGTTTATTTGTTTTGTCCATAACTGCCCAACTGCCTGTTTAATTTGCAGATATTTTACATGGCACACCATCACTCCTACCAAAGGGAACTAAGCAAGTCGTGAGGACACGATTTTTTTTGCCATTTGGCAGCACCTGTGGGTTTAATTGCTTCATGGCTTCATGTTAGGTGACAAGATTAGAGAAGATGTTGGCATTCTACGAGAGGAGATTAAAGAATGAAGCTGTGTGATTAGCATATAATCTAATGCCATGGCCGGGTGCAGAATGTTTTATTTTATCAATCAGATGTGCCAAGATCAGGTAGTGCATTATTTACCTGATGAAATATTTCGAGTTTATTTCGCTACGTTTGACTCAGGTTGTTCAAGTTTCAAGATATATACTATCTTTGCTTGGTTAAAATTATTGATATATTTTTCTGTAAAGTGGTAACCAAAGTTTGGATGGATTTTGAACTATTATTTTAGTTGTTTACTTCGTTGGCGGTTTGGCACTGAATATGGTTCTTCCCTTCAAAAGAAAAGAAAAATAAAGAATATGTACTATGGTTCTGATACTGTAAAATCACAGAAATTCCACGAGTACTCCAATTTTGTTTCATTTCACCACATTTTAATTTCATGATCAGAGACTTTGGTTGGCAAGTCAACTGTAGATGTGGCAGCAGGTTGCTTGTGCCTCGAATGCAAAGATTATCCTTAGCTCCTTGAACTAACAAATTGCGTAGAAAATAGAATGAAATACCTGCGTTGAGAAATGCAGAGGTCAAAGTTAATGGAAGAGCATCACCTCACAATAGAAAAGGAAAAAAAAAGATGAACCGTAAGAAGAGTATATAAGTATAAAATGAAGAGAAAATCTCACATGATAATACAGAATCATCATATGAATAATTAAATACACATCACGGCCTGGAAAATTAAATGTCTTGAGAAACATGTCGGACTTCTTTTGTGTGAAGTGGAGATCATGGTTTAGGTGTACTTCTCAGATGTTCAACTTTATTTTTTTATCAATACAATAAATGTTTTTTTTGGTCAATGCCCACGTATTTTTGTCGAGTGATTGTGTCCTTGCACACCAAATGTCAAGTTGTGACATTGGTCATAGAAAGGCCTAATGTGGTACTATGTATTATATGCTCTATTGCAAATACTTTCTTCCAGAGTCTTGTCTAAAATATAGGCCAAGTTTCTCCTTCACCTCATCTAAACATATTTTCTATACCAAGAAACCTGAGAGAAAGTTGACCATGATAACTTCAGAACTTCAGCTTATTTTAGGCATTTTTGGCCAACCAGAATGTAGGGCCGGCTTGCAATTTGTGCTATGTGAGGGTCCAGTACCACCATACTGATGGTGTTGATGGCAACAAAATGTGCAAATATCAATTAACCATATTATGATATTACAAAAACGACACAATTGACCTCTCGTTTTGCGATGAACCACTGAGAATAGCTTGTTTTCAAACAATAAAAAAAAAAAGCTTTAACCAACAAATAACGCAGTAGAAGCAACAAACCGTATATGCACAAGCGCCATATAATGATTTACATGGAAAAATCTGTTGGAAATATAGTCATAATTTGACATATTTTAATCCAGAAATATAACATAATAAACATGACATATACAATAGAGAGTGATCCTAGCATGATGGTAAACATGAATATGCTAACATAAACAATAGCATCTAAAAACATGTTTAACACCGAGATGAGAAGAAAATACCTGGAGAATGCTCCGGATGATAAGTTATTGGTGTTGTTGTTGCCTCTGTTGCCGTTGTCATTCTCTCTTCCGTTACCGTTGTTCCTGTCTCATCCTCCCTAGATTGGATTGCTGCTCTCCTTCCTCGTTACTCTAGTAACAGACAGTGACAAGCCCATCTGAGAGGATTGCTGCTCTCCTTCCTCGTCTCTATCTTCTTCTTCGCGCACGGGTACTCGGCCTTTCTGTTCATCCTCCCCAGACTGGATTGCTGCTCTCCTTTCTCGTTACTCTAGTAACAGACGGTGACAAGCCCTTACGAGAGGATTGTTGCTCTCCTTCCTCGTTACTCTAGTAACAGACGGTGACAGAACTTCGTCCATCCTTCTGTTCATCCTCCCTGAACTCTCTGTCTTCTTCCTCACGCATGGGTAGGCGAGCGATCAAGTTTTTGGGACCACATTCTATCGCGCTATTGCTCTCAGCCTCTCCTTCCTCATTACTCTAGTAACAGATGGTGACAAGCCCTTTTGAGAGGATTGTTGCTCTCCTTCATTATTCTAGTAACAGATGGTGACAGAACTTCGTCCATCCTTCTGTTCATCCTCCCCGAACTCTCTGTCTTCTTCCTCGCACACAGGTAGGCGGGCGGTCAAGTTTTTGGGAGCACATTCTATTGCGCTATTGCTCTCGGCAACTCTCGGGACTGCTTCATCCATGTCGCTCTGCTTCCTCTACGGCAATGTCAACCAGTCCCGGGAACGGTGACAACAGAGGAGACAGGAACGACTGGAGAGAACAACAAAGACAACGGAAGCAACAACAACACCAATACCTTATCATTCGGAGCATTCTCCCCCCGAACTCTCTATCTTCTTCCTTGCGCACGGGTACTCGGGACGAGCATGCCTCCGGAACTTCGTCCATCCTTCTATTCATCCTCCCCAAATTCTTTGTCTTCTTCCTCGCGCATGGGTAGGCGGGTGTTCAAGTTTTTGGGAGTGCATTCTATCGCGCGATTGCTCTCGGCAACTCTAGGCACTGCTTTGCTGCTCTCCTTCCTCATTACTCTAGTAACATGCTGCTCTCCTTCCTCGTTACTCTAGTAACAGACGGTGACAGAACTTCGTCCATTGTTCTGTTCATCCTCCCCGAACTCTATGTTTTCTTCCTCGCGCACGGGTAGGTGTGCGATCAAGTTTTTGGGAGCACATTCTATCGCACTATTGCTCTCGGCAACTCTCGGCACTGCTTCATCCATGTCACTCTGCTTCCTCTACGACAATGTCAACCAGTCCCGGGAACGGTGACAACAGAGGAGACCGGAACGACTGGAGAGAACGACAAAGACAACGGAGGCAACAACAACACCAATACCTTATCATTCGGAGCATACTCCCCCCGAACTCTCTATTTTCTTCCTCGCGCACGGGTACTCGGGATGAGCATGCCTCCGAAACTTCGTCCATCCTTCTATTCATCCTCCCCAAATTCTTTGTCTTCTTCCTCGCGCATGGGTAGGCGGGCGTTCAAGTTTTAGGGAGTGCATTCTATCGCGCGATTGCTCTCGACAACTCTAGGCACTGCTTCATCCACGTCAAGCTTTGCTTCCTTTACGGCAATATCAACCAGTACCGGGAATGACAACAACGGAAGAGACGGCAATGTCAACCTGTAACACTAGAGTAACGAGGAAGGAGAGCAGCAATCTAATCTAGGGAAAATGAACAAAAAGGGCGAGTACCCGTGCGCGAACAAGAAGATAGAGACGAGGAAGGAGAGCAGCAATCCTCTCAAGTCCTCTCAGAAGGGCTTGTCATTGTCTGTTACTAGAGTAACGAGGAAGGAGAGCAGCAATCCAGTCTGGGGAGGATGAACAAGGATGAACAGAAAGGCCGAATACCCATGCGCGAAGAAGATATAGACGAGGAAGGTGAGCGAAGTAGAAGATAGAGACGAGGAAGAGCAGTGCTCGTCCCGAGTACCGTGCACGAAGAAGAAGATAGAGTTCGGGGATAGAAGATAGAGAACTCTGTTACTAGAGTAATGAGGAAGAGTAGCAATCCAGTCGCTTGTCACCGTCTGTTACTAGAGTAACGAGGAAGAGCAATCCAGACTGGGGCGTCTGATACTAGAGTAACGAGGAAGAGCACCTCTCAGAAGGGCTTGTCACCGTCTATTACTAGAGTAACGAGGAAGAGCAGTGCTCATCCCGAGTACCCGTGCACGAAGAAGAAGATAGAGTTCGGGGATAGAAGATAGAGTACTCTGTTACTAGAGTAACGAGGAAGAGCAGCAATGAGGAAGGAGAGCAGCAATCCAGTCTGGGGAGGATGAACAAGGATGAACAGAAAGGCCGAATACCCATGCGCGAAGAAGATATAGACAAGGAAGGTGAGCGAAGTAGAAGATAGAGACGAGGAAGAGCAGTGCTCGTCCCGAGTACCGTGCACGAAGAAGAAGATAGAGTTCGACTAGAATAATGAGGAAGAGCAGCAATCCAGTCGCTTGTCACCGTCTGGGGAGGATGAACAAGGATGAACAGAAAGGCCGAATACCCATGCGCGAAGAAGATATAGACAAGGAAGGTGAGCGAAGTAGAAGATAGAGACGAGGAAGAGCAGTGCTCGTCCCGAGTACCGTGCACGAAGAAGAAGATAGAGTTCGGCTAGAATAATGAGGAAGAGCAGCAATCCAGTCGCTTGTCATCGTCTGTTACTAGAGTAACGAGGAAGAGCAATCCAGCAATCCAGTCGCTTGTCTTTTACTAGAGTAACGAGGAAGAGCAATCCAGTCGATAGAGTTCGGGGAGCGCGTACCCGTGCACGAAAATTTAGAGTAATGAGGAATTAACCGCTCAACAGGTGCTCTCGATTAGCAGCCTATTTAAATCGAGGTCCCTCTACGTTGGATTCCAAGGTGGTATTAATCACTTAACATTAATTATGGGCTCATAAAATTTACTAAGATTTGATTGGGCCTAGCCCATTTAGTTTTAGCAAAAACTCCTTGATGAGAGGAGTAAGAAACACGGAACCAACTAGTATGCTCCAAGCCTCCAAGCTTCCACGTACCATTTACAAACAATGGTTGCACCACAACTGCAGCAACACCATTAAGATATAATCTTGGTATCGTCAATATCAATAACAAATAAAAACAAGAAGCTTACCACCAGGCAAACAATGCAATTTATACCCCCTTAGTATCTCACAAACCATTGTTTGGAACATGAAACATGGCAAAAATGTGGATTTACAAGTTCAAATACCCGTTTGACACTTCAGACTAACTTTTTACTAAAATTGTTATCATCCAAACCGACAAAACTCTTCTCAAGTTTAGTGCTATACTAAACCGATCCTCAAACAAACCTTTTTCTTTTTTGGCAATTTTCTTGGTACCATCACAAAAATAATGGAGTTGGGAAATACCATCATACATATCAATGACATGCAGGTCCCGGGCCACACATGTCATTTTCAAATGTGATGGTATTTTGCAACTCGTGTATCTCCACAATGGTATTTTACAATGTTTTCTCTTTTTTAAAGATAGTGATCCTCAAACCAAATAACCAAATCAAAATAATCTAAATATAAAATGAGCTTGCCGAATTTAGTACACATCGAAATTTTAACCTATAAACATTGGCCTGATGAAGACAATGTTAGAACCACTTATTTGGACAAAGTAACGAACTACTCCTATTTCTTCTATTTTCTAGTCATTTTTCACTCAAAGGTTGCTCTTTTTTTCTCTCAGGAATACTTAGGTCTTTTCCCTGCAAAACAGCAAAAGGGTAAAGCTAGTCAGTCTTTGGAACACAAGAATATTTACAGGATTTTTACATGAGTTAGTCTAATTCCCACAAAAATTCTTTGAAATTCCTCCATTCCAATTTCCAAATGATTTAGGACATGGGACTAGCTAAACTTGCTTCGTTCATGGTTGTTCGGGCCAAGGGATCTTCCTGAACAGGTGCAAGAAGATCCTCTAGTTCGGCTAATATATCTGAGAAAGCAGGTCGGTTGGATGGAATGCCATCCCAACATCTCCGCATCAAGTCTAATACTTCCTCCGTTTCATATTATAAGACTTTCTAGCATTGCCCACATTCATATACTCCCTTCATCCCATAATATAAGTTTTAGAGTTGGACACGGTTATTAAGAAAGTAGATAGAAGTAAATGGTGGAGGGTTGTGATTGAATGAGTAGTGGAGGTAGGTGGGAAAATAAATGGTGGAGGGTTGTGATTGGGTGGGAAGAGAATGTTGGTGGATAAGTTGTTATATTTGGGACAAATCCTGAGGGCTAAAAGTTGTTATATTTTAGGACGGAGGGAGTATATGTTAATGAATCTAGACATATATGTGTGCCTAGATTCATTAACATCTATATGAATGTGGGCAATACTAGAAAGTCTTATAACCTGAAACGGAGGTAATAGCTGGGAATGTGCATTTTCTGGGAGCCCTGGGCGCAATCCCTTGTATACCTGTAAAATGTCATGCTTAGTGCATTTCACAATGTGCGTATTATGGTACAACTGTAACAAGTAATAACTGACAGCATATTATTTGAATAGAAGAAACCTGCATATACTACACACTTACAGCTGCTTGGAGAGGGGTCATGGTATTATAAGGGATCTGAAAATACCAGAAACGAAAATTTGACAAGCCTTAGCAAACACTAATAAATGCACAATGTAGATAATTGTGAGCCTATAGTCACAGAAAATAGTGTACCTTGGACGTTATGAGCTCCCAAAGCACAATAGCAAAACTGAACACATCAGCTTTGTTATCGTAGGGTTGATGATTTATGACCTAGCAACACCGCATCAAATATATATTTACCAGGAATATAATATTCTTGTACCTTTACTAGACAATAAAAACTAGGTAACTATAGAATGTCCATGCAAACTATAGAACATTCAGATCATTGAAATAAAGAAAAAGTATTGTCTAGCACCTTGAACCTTAAGACAAAGCATCTAAAACCCTGAGCTTTACAATACGTTCATATAACCTCCTAAAGTGGTTTTTGTCTAAGTGGAACACATTGGATGGGTTTGCCCATGTCGCGTAAATGCTGTAACATACAGATCAAAATCTCCACTTACCATCTCCTATTGGACAAAACCGTTTGTTCAAGTTTCCGTATAGGCAAAACCACCATACAAAACAACTTTAGGGGAGGGGGCAGTTGTTTAAAGATGGTATTGCAAAGTTTGGGGGTTACATACTAACCTTTAAAATTCAAGGGCTAGTTGGACTTCCATTAAAAGCTTAAGGGGGGAAAGGGATTGGAGGAGGAGGAGGGGGGGGGGTATGCCTATAGGGAAATTTCCTTGAAACAACAAACAAATCTGAACTATTCACTTTAGCGGTAGAATATATTATTGTGATAACCGTCAATCAAGTTTTCTTTTCGAGACTTCAAAAACAGTAACAATATTAGGCACATTTGAAACAGAATCACTTTGCTCCAGCAACAGAGTTGTATCTCTGGTGCCATCCATCTGTATGTTCCAGTTTCAGCTGTCATGTTACCTCCTTGATCCTGAAAATGAGCTACACCAAAATCTGCCACTTTCACAACCTAGAAAAATAATAATGAAGTTATTTATTAGTTCATAGATATTTTCTCTTAAGTGCAAAGCAGATGGCTCCTGCACATACAAAAACACAAATGAAGCATGATTGTATTCCAACAGGTACCATTTGCCCACTTGCATACACTATACTTTCTTGTCTTTTTTTCCCCCTCATATGTTCATCAATAAAATGTTGAAGATTATAGGCTACGTACATGATCTTTGTCCATTAGAAGGTTTGCACTCTTTAAATCTCTATGGATAATACCCATCTGATGCAAGTAACACATCCCTCTGCATAGATCAACTGCAAACTTCAGCAGAGTTGGAAGGTCCAAGACATTATGCTGCTTGTGCAAAAAGTCATATAGGCTTCCTCCAGACATGTATTCTGAAATATATAAAAGTAGATGATGAGCATTAGTAGGAATCTTCCAGTCCCCAAGATATAAATTAAGAACCCGCTCTTTGTCTCATAACAAGCATAATTATATGGAATTAAAAATTAGCATCTTACCAATATTATGAAATTTAGTATTGTGTAAAAATTATTCAGCACATGCTTTCTTTTAGGAACAAACTATTCTTTGCAAATTCCCCAGTGAGAACCAGTTGATGTCATAAATCTTACCAGCAATTATGCAAAATTGTGGTGGTTTTGTGCACGCACCAATGAATCGCACAACATTAGTATGCTGAATCAAGGCAAGGCATAAATATTTAGTTATTGGTACTTGCATGAACATGGCAATTTCAGACATTCTTATTCTAAGAACAGTAATGCGCTAATGGCTAAGAATTGGATATGCTTAAACAATTTATTTGCGATGGTAAATGCTAAAAAAGAATTACTTCCTCCGTTTCATATTATAAGACGTTCTAGCATTGTCTACATTCATATATATGTTACATACATATATATGAATGTAGACAATGCTAGAACGTCTTATAATATGAAACGGAGGGAGTATATAACAGAACACCTTATTTTAATGTTAAATACCTTAGAATATATACTTCCTGTGTGAACTCATTCCAAACATTCTTATTCAAATGCTCAGATCTTAGAACTTTAACAGCAACATCCTCACCGAGATAAGTCCCATGATACCTTGACATAAGGATAACACACCATAAAACAAAGTGCAATAAATACAGTGATAAAACAACTCAGCAGTATACAAGATCCAGAAGCTCATCCCTCCCATCTTCAGCAGTCGTTTGTCAATGTAGGCTCCGGTTATATGACGATAAGTAATCTTGCTTCTAGTAGAACTCATCGTTATAACACCAGAATTATCCAATCTGGTGCTGCTTTACTCACTAATGATAAACACAATGAGGCTCATACTGAAGTGGAAGGAAGTTTAACTGTTTGAACCTCCAAAATTTTATGTTCAGGTAGTCAAATCTATCACTAACTTTGGCATACCTTTTTTTACACATATTTCTAGCTTGCTTCGTTCAGTAAGCATCGCCCTCAGAGCTTCAGTCTATAATTCAGTTCTAGGTAGCAACCAAGACAGTGGCATGCATCTTGTAAGCACAGGCTGCTTATTAACTATGTTGCATCTGGTCCTCGATACGACTCCAGGATGGCTCCTTCACTATTCCTTTACCTGACATGGCCTCCCTGATCTCAGCAGCATTACCCCAACGGCCATCACCAGCAAAGGCATTTGATAACTGAACATGAACAGATGAGTCATGAGGATTTAGCTCAATTAGGCGCTTGGACACCCGGATTACAATCTCAAGGTTCCCATGAATCTGGCAGGCACTGAGCAGAGCTCTGTATACTGAAGCACCAGGTTTTATAGGCATGCCATTAATCAAGTATTCAGCTTCATTGAGATAGCCTGCTCGACCAAGAAGATCAACCATACAAGCATAGTGCTCTGTCCTTGCTCCCACAAGATACCCTTTATCTTTCATCAAGTTGAAATACTCGAGCCCTTTATCTACCAAGCCAACATGGCTGCAAGCTGTAAGGACCGACAAGAAGGTTATGTGGTCTGGCTGAACATGTAGCCTCCTCATTTGTTCAAACATCTCAACTACCTCCTTTCCATGGCCATGTTGAGCACATCCTGACATTAGTGAATTCCAAGAAACCAAATTAGGTGCTTCCATTGAAATGAAGACGCCATTGGATTCCCCTATTGCACCATGTCTGGCATACATGGAAATCAGGCTGTTCTGGACATCCACAACAGAATCATATCCAATCTTCAGAATAAGAGTATGAACCTGCCTTCCCTCTAGCAATGAGGATGAGCTACCTATAGCCTTCAATACGCTGGCAAAGGTGAACACATCCATATCAGTGCCGTGCCTTCTCATTTCCAAGAAGTGTTGAAACGCCTCTTTACCTCTTCCCAGACAGGAGAGCCCAGAGATCACGGAATTGAATGATACCTGATCTTGACATGAAACAGACATCTGCACCTTGACAAAATTTTCCAAAATGCCGCACTTGGAGTACATGGTCACAAGAGCAGACAGAACAAACTGATCGTGCTCCAAGCCCTTCTTAAGCACCGCGCAATGAACTTGCTTCCCATGATCTATGTCCTCCGGGCTCGCGAATGAGCTGAGAAGGCTGCTGTATGTCATCAAGTTTGGTGCCACACCAGAGCGTTCCATCTCCCTGACCAACAGCATGGCGTCATGAGGCCTTCTGCTTAGAACGAACCCTGCCACGAGCGCCGTGAAAGTGGCCACGTTCTTTTCTTCCATCTCCCGAAACACCTGCTGCGCGGCGCCCAGATGATGGCATTTGGCGTACATGTCCACCAAGGCAGTGCCGACGACGACAGAAGCACAGAAGCCATGCATGAGGCCAACGGAGTGCAGCGTTGCTCCAGCAGCAGCATCCTCCAGCCTGACGCAGGCGACCAGGACGCTGGACACGGACGACGCGGTGGGGGAGACGCCGGCGCGCGCCATGCGCGCGAAGGCCGCCACGGCGAGGCCGGGCGCGGCCGACCGCGCGTGGCCGTGGATGAGCGTGTTCCAGGTGACGGCGGTCCTTGCGGGCATTTGGTCGAACAGGTGCTGTGCCTCGGGGAGGCGGCGGGATCGGCAGTAGAAGGCGAGGAGCGCGGTGGTGGCGAAGAGGTTGGAGGCGAGGAAGCCGAGCTTGGTTGCGGCCGCGTGGCACTGGTCGGCGGCGGCGGCGGAGGGGCGCGGCGGCTGGGCGGCGAGGAGCTGGACGAAGGCCCGCGGGGTTCGCGCGTCGGCGTGGCGGAGGAAGTCGCGCATCTCATCGTTCAAACCTGATGTCGTCTTGGGATGGATGGAGGTAGCGACTGCTGTGTAGTAGTGTAGGGGAAGATCGGAGGAGGCAATGGCAAATCTAGCGGCGGTTGTCGTGGGAGAAGGGGTGGCGCTAGTCATAATGAACGACACTATCCTCCAATCAGCCGTTGTCTAAAGAATCTTACTTTACTATAGTACTAATTGATCAAGCAATTAGAACAAATATTCCTATCATCTATACTTCAAATAAAATTTTCTTTTAAATTACTCATCCGATTTACAATCCGATTACACCGTTGTGTTCGTAACAATTAAATCTTTACAACAAGATCTCACATGATTATATTTTGATAAAAAATCACAAATTACTTTTATAATATATCTAAATTACTTTAGATCTCACTAAGTTACTTCTTAAATATATAAAAGTAAATTCAATAAAATTTTAAAGTAATTAACATATAATATAATTATAGAAGTTACTTTCTTTTTCCTTTTTTTTATAAGTTACTTCTATAATATATGTAAATTACTTTTATGTTATATTGAATTACTTTTATATGTTTAAAAAGTAACTTAGTGAAATCTAAAAGTAATTTAGATATATTACAAAAATAATTTATATTTTTTCATCAAAATATAATCATGTGAGATCTTGTTCTAAAGATTTAATTGTTACGAACACAACGGTGTAATCGGATTGTAGATCGGATGAGTAGTTTAAGAGAAAATTGTATTTGAAGTGTAGGTGGATAGTGTTTATCATAGATAGAGTGGTAGCTGGTTTGTCGGTTTAGACAAACCAGCTAGCACTAGCTGTGTAGCCATGTCCATGAAGGAGGAAAATGAAAAACGGAATAATCCTAGGGACGTGGAAGGACCTTGTTGCAAAACAAGTTTCTTCAAGGGTGGACAAGACATTTTATTTTACAGTATATAAGCCTTGTTTAGTTTTTAAAAACACCACCTCGAATCTTTGAACATATACATAAAGCATTAAATATAGGTAAAAGAAAAACTAATTGCATAGTTTGTATGGAAATCGTGAGACGTATCTTTTGAGCTAATTAGTCTATGATTAGACATAAGTGATACAGTAACCCACACGTACTAATGACGGATTAATCAAGCTTAATAAATTCGTCTCGTGGTTTCCAAGCGAGTTATGAAATTAGTTTTTTCATTCGTGTCTGAAACCCCTTCTGACATCCGCTTAAACATCCAATGTGACACCAGAAATTTTCTTTTCGCGAACTAAACAGGGCCTACATATAAGAGCCAGTTTAAAAGTATAGTCAACTATTAGCTTCAAATCATCTATAGTCAATGTAATAGCCAATTCATATAATTAGCTACCTATAAACATATACTACTACACAATTAATATCTGGTCCTACCTGTCATACATATATTACGTCTTGTAGTCTATGCTTAAGCTGGCTACAAGTCTATAGCCGCTGCTCTTATCTCTCATCATTTATCTTCTCGATATATATTTATAGCTAGCTTATAGTCTGCTACCGTACCTGCTCTAGATCTAGTTCTATTTCTCAACTCCAATTTTCTCAATTTCCGTTAGCAAGTTTTTCAAACTGTTAAATGATATTTTTTTTAAATATTGTATATAAAAGTTATTTAAAAAATCTCAAATAAATTTATTTTTTAAATTTATAATTATTAATACTTAATTAGTCATGTGCTACTCGTTCTGCGTGAGTCGAAAATCTCTCTCGAAACAGACAGATCGAACGCAGCCGTCTCAGCCCCGGCGCCGTCATCTTCCGTCTTAGCCTCACCGCTCCGTTCCGTTCCGTTCCATTTCCGCCTTGCTCGAGCCAGCAACCAAACTGCAAAACCGACCAACCGCACCCACCCACCCCACCTCTCCCCACCCCCAACCTCCCAAACCCTAACTCTCTCTCTCCCTCGTCGCCGGCGAAGCTTCCAGAGGCGGGGGCAGCGCGAGCGCATGGAGTCCCCCACCGCCGGCGGGGGCGGGGGAGGGGGCGAGGCCGGCGCCGCGTCGTCGTCGTCCTCCTCCTCGGGCCCCTCCACATCGTCCGCCGCCGCCGCCGCCACCGCATCGGCATCCGCGTCCTCATCAGCCGTCGCCACCCGCTACCTCGCCAAGCGCGTGCTCCGCGGGAGCGCCGTGCTCCACGTCGCCCAGGGCTGCTTCCGCTCCCCCGACTGCGTCGACGTCGTTCTCTGCAAGGTCGGGAAACACCCCCCCGCTTCCCGCACTCCCATTCCCCTGATCGGCGAATCGTGTAGGGCTTCCGATCGCCGTGCGTAGAGGATGGACCCCCAAGGGTGGCTGGGTTTTTTTTTTTTTTTTTTAATTTTATGGTCGGCTCGGAGCGTCGGGGATGATGCTCCTTATGCCATAGATCATGCGGTTGTTATTCGGTTTGGAGGTCCGGTCTGGGGTAACCATGGTTGCTCTGCTTTTAGTGGTGTAAGGACATGGAGGACATGTTGCCCCAGTGATTGGAATTGCTAAACCCAAATATTGCTGTCATGCTACCGATTGGGTTGTTGAAGCTAGCGTCGGATCAGTTCCATTAGGAGAATAATAAATGAATAATTCAAAACATTTGCTACACCGTCATCTATGCCTGGATGTCCCTTTGTTTTACCATATTTGAATAAATTTGTGTGCCATGCTGGTAGAAGAAACAGAATGCGGGACGATGGGAAAAGATAAATGAAAAGCTATAGACTTGTATCACTGCGTATATTGAGTGAGCTGCTTAAATTCTTACACTCTGCTTGTTTGATCTATGGTTGATAAGCCGTGGGAAAATGAAATAAGCAACCAAAAATAATTTGTGGGCTAAACTTTTATATCTGTGTTCTTCGCGGTTTAAAAGTCAATGCTGGTAATTAAACTACGATGAAAAAAACCCTCAAAATCAACTCTAAAATTCAAATTTGGCTGCGGCTGATAAGACAACAAGCAGACGACGAGAGGAACATGAATACATATCAATTAACATGTGAACTCACTGTATGATCTCTGTTACAAGGCTGCTGGGTTAGTTCTGCAGAATCCTGGTACTTATTTTTCTTTCATCCTTTTATTGAAAATATTGGTTATTGCTGCAGGAAAATTCACTGGAATTGGTTGTTATTGGTGAAGATGGTGTTTTACAATCAATCTGTGAACAAACCACATTTGGTATTATAAAAGATGTTGGTGTCTTAAACTGGCGCTGTACACACTTTGGTTTAATGCCGAAGGTGCAGTTCTTTCTCATAGCAAAGCATAATACTTTGCAATACTTTTCCTGTGCATATGGCTGTCTCTACTTTTCTTCTGATGACAGATGGGAAGATAATTATTTGCCATATTCTTTTCAGATAGAAGGGAAAGAAATTCTGGTTATACTTTCAGATTCTGGAAAGCTATCTCTTCTTTACTTTTGTTCTGAGATGCATAGGTCAGTGCTGCTCCTTTCTTATTTGTGGCATTTTTTTCTATCTTCACAGATCAAGCTGCTTGTATAAACTCAAGACCCAAAAATATAATTAATAATGATCCAAAGTATTAAGTACTGTAATAGCCTAATGATTACATGCAACCAGAGGAAACAGTGAGAAATTTAAAAAAATGGAAAGGATGCCATTTTTTTTATGCCTATCACATCACACTTGTATAGGATGTGTATCACTTTTAACATCCAACTCGTGTGATTGTGTCGAAATTGCCACTAGAAAGTTATTAAAATCTGGAAACACATGCATATTAGACTACCGAGAATTGAAGTGAATTGCACTGCTTTTTATCACTAATAACTAAGCTCAGTTGTACACATTTTATTTTTTTTAATATACTGTGTTTTTCACAGTGAGAACAAAGAGCAGGATAATATTTTTTTGTAAGGTTCATTATTCACGGAAGAATATTGTTTGCAGGTTTATCTTGTGCGTGGCATTTTCATTCTGCAGTTGTTATCCTGTTTTGTTTGAGATTTACAAGATTTGCTTTGATATATTGCCCCAAAAATAACTGTTGACACAGCATTTTGTATCAATTTATTGTAGGTTCTTTGCAATTGCAAATATTGAACTATCGAAACCAGGAAATTTGAGGCATCGGCTCGGGAGAATTTTAGCTATAGACCGAGAGTGAGTGAAAGTTCCTCTCTCTTGAAGTGTTTGTTTACATAAAGCTTCATTTGTTACATGATAGAATAGTCTCCATTATTTTTATCATTAGTTGGTGATACATTAATTGTTGTACTACATGGCAACCAAAATTGATATATTAATTGCTGGACTGTGTTCTTGTAAATGGGTGCAATTTCAGTGTCTTATAGGGAGAAATATGAAAAATGGCATGGTATTTCAGCAAACGGCATGAACAATGGATGTCCAATAGTAATGTTTCCCTTGATTATGTGGCATTAAGAAAGTTAAATCTTTCCTGTTGGTGACTGTACTCTCTGCTCATGTCTGATGTCTGATGGTTGACAGTTGATGCTTATGTTCGCTTTGAACAAAATGGAGCTGTCACCGTTTCTCTATTCCTGATTTCAAGTTTGCAACACCCAGGTTATTAGTTTATGGGAATGTCTTTCATCAAAGTGCTATTAGATCTAATCCATGGACACAACTAAACTGTAGAACTTAGTGTTTGAATACTCTGGGAGGCCTGTCTAGTTTGAATGATTATGAACTTGTGGTCTTGATTGACAATTATTTGTTACTATCTCTGTCACAAAATAACCACAATTCTAGGAGTAGTAGTTACAATTTTTCTTTTGTTGCGTAATCTTTTAGGTGTATATGATAATATGATATCGTAAACTGCATTATAGTTGTCCAACGCAATACTCTAATACAACCTTTTACATTATAATTGCTTGATGTGTAAATAACCTTTTTGAGGACTTAAAGTTAAATGGTTTATGAAGTTTCTTAACTTTGGTTGTCTCTTGTCAGATCTAGGTTTGTTGCTGTCAGTGCATATGAGGATGAGTTTGCATTTGTACGTGTTTCAGTGGATCACAAACTTCATGCTCCTAATGGAGGTAAAATTTCTGAGGTGACTCTTGAACGTAAACAATGCCTTTTGTGACTCTCATTGCTTATGCTTAGTATAATACTTACAGTACATTGTTCCAGACTTTGAAGATTTCCCATGTCATAATTT